ATCTTAAAAGAGAATGGAGAATGGTTTGAGAAGCACCGCCCAACCATCATTGTACCAGGTATTGAGAAAGAAGCCAGAGTTCTTAAAGTCGTACCTCCGTGCCTTTCAAGCCATTTCCCTTTCAAAGTGACCTTACAACAAGACACCCATTGTGATTCCAATGTGATAACTACCAGAGACACTTGGGCCTGGTGTTATACGCCAGCCTCGCTTGCACCGCACGGAGAGGCCTGGCCACGCAAGGCGTGGTGCACTCACCCTCCTCCGGAGCCGGTCTCGCTCCTCCCGGATGGCATTCATGGTGGCCTTGGTCCTGTTCAGCTCCTCCTCTTTGCTGCACAGCATGGCGGTCAGGCTCTCGTTCTCTTCCCTCAGCCCGGCCAGCTCCTTTTCCCATCGGGAACGCTCCTCGGCCAGGTTAGGGTATAGGTCCCGGCCAAGTACCCCTTCAATCTCCTCGACAGTCTGAAAAACACAGCAACGAAGAAGAGCCAAGTGGACTGTCTTGAAGAACACAGCCCAGGGAGCAACCAGTGTCCACCAGGGAGTCAGTTCTTGGGCCACTTCGTTGCAAGTGGTATCATGAGTAGGGTTGTGTTTGTAAAGTGCCATCGAGTCAGCTCTGACCCACAGCAACCCTAAGCACCACAGTATCAACTACTGCACTGGCCGGTGCCATCCTCACAACTGCTCACACGCCTGAGCTCACTGTGGCAGCCACGGCGTCCATCCATCTTCTTGAGGGGCTCTTTTTTCCTGTCCCTCCATTTTACCAAATATGATGCCCTTCTCCAGGGACTGGCCTCTCCTGACAAGATGTCCAAAGTACGTAGGACCAAGTCTTGCCATTCTTGCCTCTAAGGAGCTCTCTGGCCTAACTTACTCTAATACAGATCTGTTTGTCGTTTTAGCAGTCCATGGTACTTTTAATATTCTTCTCCAGGACAATCCAAAGGCATCTTCTTCTTCTTCACTCTTCCTTATTACTCCTCATGAGTAGTGAGACCGCCCCCCCCCCCCATTATATGTTCTATATTCTCATCGAGGCTCTGTCATTTGCCTGGGTCACATGTTCTGTGATGTTTAAGTCTATCTGTGGCATTGACTGCCAAGTCTATACAAATGGCTATCTCCCTCACTCAAGTCCCGGAGCTGGCGAACACATGATGAGACAGCAAGGCAATGAGCGATCCTGATAATTCAAGGACAAACTCGCAGTTGCACACTGCACAGGAAGTGTAACTGGATGTTTCCTAAATTATAGGGCTCCTGCGTTCCGTCTAGGCAATGGGCGAGGTCACGCCACCATTTCTAGGCGTTGGAGTCGTGTCAGGATGCAGACGGTGCGAATGAGGCTCAGTCCCAAGATGCGAAAGACGAAAATAGACCTCAGTGACACAGGAAAGAGGAAGCTCATTGTGGAGGTTTCTAAGACAGTTGGGGGTGGGGGCGGATCTTAGTAGTACTTAGAAAGAAAGCGTTTTCTAAAAATTTATTTAAAAGAGTATTTGTGGGAAAGGGAACATGCATAAAAGTAGGAGAAAAAAGGAAGCATTCATTCTGCTTGCTTTTAGAAAGGATTCATTCACATTAGTTGCCTGTGGAAGAGGAAGCAGAAATCTAATGATAGTAGAGGAGGGAGAAGAGGTGTGCAGCGGTAGAAGAGAGCGAAGAGACATGCTGAGAGACAGAGACCTCCAGTATGCAGACCAGAGGGTGCTCCCTTCTGGGATGCTTATACTAGATAGATCCCTGGGAGGTTGGGGGTCCAGGTCATGTTGTCACCTTCCCTAGGTCGTGTTTGTTCTTCTTTCCAAAAATGAGATTCTTATTCTACTTGGCCCTGCTCGATGCCCCTGATATCCCTTGCAGGTTGGCACAGGTCTCTGGCCTCCTCGTTCCCTTGGTTCTCTCAATGCTGAAGCCAACCAAGGGTGGTGCCTGGGTTGGCACTACAGTCAAACACAGAGCCTGGGAAACGTCAGAGAAAGAAGCCCCTGTGGTTGCTTCTCCCGGTCCAAGCCACACCCACCATGTGTTCATAGGGTGTGATGCTGGAAAGCCAGCGGGATCACAAACACACTCCCGTCACACTTTACCTTGGGACAACACAGAGCCCGAGTGAAAGCCAGGACTCTGGTGGATGGAAACCTGGGCCTACTGTCCTCACACATTCTTCTAGGAAAAGCTCACATTTTCCCTTTGCACTGGCTCCTCCAAAACTGTTAAGTGAGATAGTGTTTGCAGGGCAAGGCCCAGGGAACTAAGCTTTGGTTCAGCAATACGAAGTTCTTAGAGGCCCGGGAACAATGGGACTGGCCTTTCCCCTGGTTGATGATGGATGAGTTGGTCCAAATCGCAAACTGCTGTGAAAGGAGTGCTTGGGGAGGATAAGAAGACAAGAGGTCCATCCAGACCCTCTATCAGACAGGGCCCCTCCTCCAGCTCCCTTTTTAGCACCATGAATTGCCAGTTCCTGAAATAAC